TAGACTCCAGCTGGTCTTCTGTAGTTTGAAATCTAAAATACTTTGATTACTTAAACCTAACCTGAATTATGTTGCATTAAAATGAGAAGTAACAAAGCACTGTCTGATCTAATGAGTTTTTATTCCTTCAGGTCTTTCAAAGAAAGAAACAGATTTCAAATCTATCTCAAGTCATTACAGTGACACCTTAAGAGAGGAACCCCCTTAAATTCATTGAAATTTAAAACACCGATAACGATACCCGATACCTGGCTGTGCAGTATCGGCCGATACCGATACCATAATAATGTAAAATAATCGCCATCATGGCTTTGTCAAGCTGCTGCCAACCTTTGTGAAGCAGGAAAAAATCTAATACAAAGTGAATCCAGTAGAACTTTTTATTGCCTACCAGGATGGGTGACAATAGTTGAATAAACGTATGGCTCTCAAAATGGTATCGGTGCCCTATTTGTTGGTACTCGCCGATACAGATACCACCATTTTAGGGCAGTATCGGGGCCCCGTCCGATACTAGTATCGGTATTGGTGCAACACTAGTTCTCACACTGTGCAACCTGGCACTCTGATGCAATCGACCTGCTCACACTGTATGTCTAAAGACCACGTCAGACAATTTGTGCAATTTTGTGCTGAAAGCCCTAAAAAGAAAAGGCAACGACCTATTTGCACAAAGACATGGCTGAGCAAACGTGGCTGCTGCGGTCTGTCAATTTTACAGAAAGAACTCCATTTCACTCGCACCCCTCGCCATGCCTCTGTGTTTTTGTCTGAGAGGAAGTAGAAGAAGAAGAATCCTTATTTGCGCACTGTGCGATCTGCTGACGACGGCCGACTGAATTCCAAACATGTTTGATTTTCTCGCGACCTTACGATTCCTGATCAGGAGGTGGTCGTGAGAGACTGATCGCCCCACATTACCCCCTGTACACTACACGACGCACAATCAGGCTGAAAGTTGGACCGATTAAAAAATTCTCGCACGACTGGTAAGTCGGCCTGAAAGGGCAAAAAAAAAAAAATCATACAGTGTACGCCCAGCTTCAGCTGACTGGATTATGATATCCCTGTTTGGCAATATTTGCTAAAAATGCATCATCTAACTGTAGAAGATGGAGAAAAGAATATGAAAATACATTTCAACAGGAAAAAGATTTATAAGAATCTTTGTTAAATGTTTACCAGTGACTCATCCAAAGCTACTAGAAGGTGAAAGCTTGATTTTCCAAACATGTTAAAGACAAACCTCTGATTAATGAACCCATCTTATTATCAAGAACACAGCTTGTGTCCATAAAGGAGTTTTAATGTAATATTTGACATCAGAATTACACAAAACCTTAGAAGTACGTGATGAAGCCCAGGAGGTTCACATCTCTGACAAACACTTTGAGTTTGTTTTACAGCTGACAGAGGAGAAGACATCCAGCTAAGCTCCAAATCTCATCTTTTCCTTCTCCACTCTCATTCACTTAAAAATGATGGTCTTCATTCCTCTGATCTCACTCGGAGACTATTCCTATGAGGCTGGGGGAGTTCGTCCTACGGATGGGAAGAGTGATTGGTGTAGACAGACGCAAGAAAGGAGACAACAGGATTGCCTGTTGGCAGCGACAGGGTGGATATGAGAAAAATGTCTGGAATGCTGAGAAAGCACAAGCTCGGTCAGCTAATAGATGGAGGAAGGAAACAGGAGCTCAGAAACCCCTGAACCCGCTCACTCCGAAGAGGCGGCGGGCGAAAAAGACACAAACTTTCCAGATCAATGAAAAGTTAATCAGAATTCCAATTTGCGGCGCGGCAATTTAGGATCTAAACGATGAAATAAAAAGTGATGCTTGGCTTTATGATCCTCCATCTTTCATATTCAGACTCAAATAGAGCTAATCATATTCTAATCTGCACAGAAAAAACACATTGATCTTTCAGGAGTTATTACTTGCAATCTCATTTCTTTGCTGAGAAACTAAAAGCCTTTTGTCATTTTCTTCCACATGTTCTTCATTTTGTAAAAGACTTTTAACTCAGGGTTCGGCTTTGGATTGTTATCTCATCAGCTAAAGGACACGAAGAAAAGAAACAGACCACCCAATGAATTTATCTAATGAAAACTGCCGAAGCAAAGGCCATATTTCTCTTTCTGTTACTAAGGGATCTTGTGTAACAGAGTTATTGCCTCTTCACCAGAACCTTTCTGTTCCCTTTCTAAAAGCCAAGCTGAAGCCAATAGTCCCTGTAAGGCAAAGGAGGGGACTCTGCAGCATCTTAGTAACGTTTTCTTAGCCCTTTCAGTCTGTGTTTAGCAGAATCTAATTTTACTGCAAGTATTCTGGAGTAGGTCCAAAGCAGCTTTGCACATCCAGAACATTTTGTCCATTCTTCGTTCCAAAACAGCTGAACCTCGGTCAGATTGGGTGGAGAGAGCATCCGTGACGTGCTCTCCATCTTTGGCTTTGATCTCAGCCATTCCTTCAGATCTCTGACTGTTTAAGGTTGTTGACCTGGTTGAAGGTGAACCTTAACCCCTGTTTGAAAGTCTTTGCAGCCTCTAAAAGTTTTATTAGTCTTCCGTCTTGTATACAGCGCCATCCAGCTGTTCTAATCAAAGAACAATCTCCACTCGGTATGATGCTACCCCTACCATGTGTCAGTGTTGGGATAGTGGCGTAGTTTAAAGTTGTCTACAGTGTTTGCTTTGGCCATGGTAAACTTGAGTCTCCTTTCACCTGTTTGCTTTGTGCATGTGTGCGTTCTCCCCATAAAGGCTTATTTATCCCTCACCTGCTTAGAATGCTACTTCTTACGGAAAATTGTTATAGAAATAAACTTGCCTTTATTTTTAAATGTATATATTTTTTATGTTTTCATAATGCTTTTTCATCCCTGCATCGTTTTTAACAGACCGATGAGGCTTTCAGAGTATGGAGTGAATTTCACTCCATTATTGGTGCAAAAATCTTGTCATTTCAATTTGAAATTAAATTTCAACCCTGAAATTAAACTTTGAAAACTTTTTCATTAAAAAAAAGCTTTGAGAGTCACTTTGCCAATTTTTAATTTTGTTGTTGTTTACACTTTTTTTCTGATTTTCTTTTTCTATTGTAATTGTTTTATTTCAAAGTGTTTGTATTTTTATATATATATATATATATATATATATATATATATATATATATTTTTTTTTTTTTTTTTTTTTTTTAAGAAAACATTTTCAATTTTTTATCATTTTATTTACAGATTACATTCTCTTCACTTTCAGGGGCAGGATTTCCTTTAGAGTGAGGAGCAAAGAAATTACAATTAACGTCTGCTGGAAAGGTGTTAAAGGTAAATGTTTGTATTTAAAAAAAATGCAATCCAATGAGAAATTTAAAAACAAAAAAAAATGAAATAACAGCAAAGTTACTCTCAAAACCTTTATATGATTAAAAAGTTTTTCAAAGTTTCATTCCTAGATTGATTCCTTTTTTTCATTTCTATAACAAAATGGGATCCTTGCTTTCTTTTAATAATGAAACAAAATTCCCACCATGACACTGAATAGCCTCGGTCATAATGAATTACAAAGACGTCAACAGTTTTTTAACTTAACTGGTAGCACTGGATTTCATTTCGGGGTATCCCTGTGAAGGGAATCTTAAGGCAAATGCATGCCACACTTTTCAGATTTATTATCTGTAAAATAATTTTGAAAAGAAAATTTAAAAAAAAAAAAGCATCTTTTCTTTTCTTTACACATCATGATTACGTAGGTATGAGTGTTGGTGAATCATAAAACTTCACAGTAAACCAAACTGATGTGGTTTGCTGGGAATTTGTCACATCAGTGACAAATCGTCTGAAAGTTGTCTCAAAACTTTTGAAGGAAACCGTACTTCACTGAGGCAATATTAATATTAGAACACCGTTTTCTCTTCGTGTAGCAAATAGGGACCGAAGAAAAATAGCCTGCAGATATTTGTTAGGAGAGTACGACAGTATTTAACAGATAAACACATTGATATTCACCCACCAAGTAAACCTTGACTGTCTAGACTAAAATTCCCTGAAGCCATCATTTAAATCCTGCTTTTTTGTCTGAAGCCATTTATCAACTGAGGTTTGCAGAGCTGCTTTTGCTCATAGAAGAAAGTCTGTTGTCAGAAAATCACCAGGTCTGAAACTGAGAGGAGCTGGGCAAACACAGGGCATGCACCGACACGGAGGGTGATAACTGCTGCCATCATTGCCGGATTACATCACTTAAACCCAACCACCAATGAGGTGCTATTTGCAACACAATGCAGACTCTGTTTAGGGTGAAAATAAGAAAAACAACAGCACGTCTCATTGCGTCTGACCGTTGTCCCTAACTTTAACATAAGCTGCGCCTTCAAATTATCTCAGGGAAAAGGAAGCGCCACATACTGAACAAAGCTGATAATGTCATAAACATCAGTCAACCTTGGCATTTATGGATTATTTTAAACTTTTAAGGAAACAATGCAACAATCCCAGCGCAAAAGGAAAAAGCCAGATCTTTGCGATGAATAGTTGGCTGCAACCGTGGAATTATTTTATGCGAGCGCATTCATGTGTGACTGCAAGATCGAGCCTGTACCTTTGTCAGGCAAAGCAGCGTTGCACTTATAAGGCCCGGAAAAACGGTGGCTGCTCTCATCGGCAGGAGGATCGTTTATCTGAAACTTAATTCTGAAGAAAAGCGGCGTCCCGACATGGAGCGAGCAAAGTATTTTAAGACAAATGACAGCATGTTTTTGTGATCAGTAGATACAGTCCGTGCAAAAAGCTTCTGAAAATGAGGCGCAGCCTGCATGTGTTCTCTGTATACCAAGGAGGTACTTCTCAGTGAATGCTATTAGTTAATCAGCCACAAATTAAAACCGGAGCTCAGGGGGGAAAACATAAAAGGCCATCCTGGCGTGATCATTAATGCAAAACATCAAGCACATTCCTGAGAACTCAGTGAACACAAACAAAGAGAAAAGTTTGCTTCTTACCCTTGACACAGTAAGGGGCATGCTGAAGTCTTTGCCTCCCTGCAGCCTGAAGCCCCACGGCGCTGGGCCGCTGAGGGTAACCGTGTACATGTTCATAGCCTTGAGGAAGAGAGAAAAGAAAAGGTTTAAATTAGCAAGAAAAACCAGGAAAAGCTTTACAAGGACAAACATCCTTTCCTGTTTTGTGTCTTTGCTGCTTATTGTGGGGGTTTTTGTTTCTAAAACTAACACTTCAGGCAACAAAGAAGAATAAAGAGGAAACAAATACAAAAGCACTCTGGTTTTTTTTTTTTTCCATATACTCTATTAGACCTTTGAAAGGGTAACTTTGGTTAAAAAATTTAAAAGAATAAAGAATCTCTGACAGTAAAGAATGCATATTCCATTTTTACATATAAGAATTTGTGGTGCATTCAACTTAAACTCAAAAATCAAGAGTTTCAGAGCTTTAAATGAGAAACAATTTAGAGATGCAGCAATTTCTGTCTTTCTTTTAGAGCCGACCTGCTGCTTCATTCTTTGGAATGAAAAGTATAGAACTATCTACCATTTTATTCTGCTGTTATTTCATAGAATTGCTTAACTGAGTTTCCGACAGCAAGCTGTTAGAAACACTCTGCTTCTGGCCGCTTCTGCTGGAAGTTTGTGTAAACCATTGGTTCTTGATAAATGGATCAGCTGTTCTCAGACCCGATGTTTGAGTTTGATAAAGCCTTTTTCTAACATCCATCAATAAAAAATGTTCTAAAATTATGTAAGAGTATCATATCGGGTCATATTGGTCAATACTCAAATCTTTAATATCTGTCGGAACTTCCCTGATTGCAGAAATGTCCCTAATCCCATTTCGATAAGAGAAATACGTCCAATATCAGGCAAAAAAAAAAGGGTCAGTTCTCATTGCTAACTACTGTTTTTCATTTGATTGATATCATTTGTTCAAGGATTTTCTAGTTTTCATCACTACAAAAAAGGTAATAAAAATAACTATAATCCATGCTAATATCGTACCAGATCGATACAAGTAAATACTGAAAACTGCTATATCCGTATCGTATCGGAAATTGAACAGTTGTATCGGAACCAGAGCATGTGGGCGGAGCTAGCGGTGGAACGGAGCAGAAGAAATATGGTGGAGCGCAGAGTGGTTTTCAATTCAAAGGCCTGAGCGAGGATTTCGCTCCGCTCCAGTTTGCTCCAATGTGGTCAAAACATGAAAGTCAATGGAATAGACTTTATTTAAATTCATGTTTGACTTAAAACCTAGGCCAATGCCTATGTTGCAGTCTGTGCCTATAATCTGTTAGAGTCTATGTTTCAACTTTACCATGGAATCGACGACACGAGGATTGCAAAACGAAAAAAGTGGGATAAAATATCATAAAAACATACACTAACTATACTTAACAATACAGGTTTAAATAAAGTGATCGTTGTGGTAAGAGCCTGTTTTAAAAAAAAAAAAAGGATCGCAAACATGCATTACACACTATTTTCTCATTTGCAATGGGATGCGAAGTGACCTTTTTTAATTTGGTCTAGTGAAATAAATGAATAATTAAATTGGAAACGCGGGGCAACATGAATGGAGCGAGGTGTTACGTTCACAGCTTCGATAAATTAACAGCCAGTTAAATAAGACAATACCATGTAGGGTAATGCATCTTATACCTGTTACAGGCGAAACACCACATGCTAAGTAGCGGAGGCATAGGTCTAATTGCTTATGCATCAGAAGTGGAAGCAAATCATCAAACCAACAACGTCGTCTCTCTACCTAAAAGTTAAACACAGGGTTATTTAAAGAATTTCACATTGGCTGCCATAACTTATAAATCCTCTCCCACTGTTGTGATACTGAAGGATGTAATCAGTTTTAACATACACCAATCATCTCGTTATGACGAGATGATTGGTGAGAAAATTAACTATTAATTAATTATGAGAAAATTAACTCGTTTTCTCAAGAAAACCAGTGTAAAAAGTATCTGAGGGACACGACCGCTCTCGGCTTCCGTACAATAAACATGTATCGGTCACATCATTAAATCAAACTCTGTGTGTCCCAGGGCCCTGGCATAATTACATGAAGGAAAAATGTCAGAAAATGATTCTCCTGAAAATTTGAGCGAGTGTGGAGCGATTTCGCCGGAGCGGCAGGAAACTTAAGGTAAGCGTGGAGCGGATGTTGAGCGGAGCGTCTTGGTGCAACTTTGAGCGGCGGAGCGAATGAGCGAACATCTTCCTAAGCGGGAATTCCACTCCATTCACATGCTCTGATCGGGACAGCCCAATTTATTGATCATGTGTCTCCATTTGCCTCTCAAACTGCATTTGATACATACAAATACATTTTAAAATAGCTGGACCAATAAAGGATCATTCTAAACTAAAAAAAAATGCTTTAAAACTAACAGATCTGGCCTATTAAAGGGGGAAAAAAAGACATTTATTTGCATTGCACTGAGATTCAGCAGCAGCCCTGTTCCATGTCTGTCTTTCCAGTAATTTAATATAATTTTTAGTAATCATTTACTGCAGCAGGAAAAAGATTGTTGACTTTTTCCTGCCGTAATGTCAGCTTGAATCTGGCTGTACCATTTAGCGCTGCTAATATGAGCCACCATAGCCTGAAGGGCCTTTATGAAAAATTCAAACTGGTTTGTTTTCTTGCTTCTTTGTGTCGGTGGTGAATGAACTGTCAACTGATTAACTTTTTCACAGCAGTTGAACTTTGCACCTGGGAAGCGCAGCTGAACGGAAGCTCGTAGCGACAAAGCGCCGTCATTGAGCCGTCTGCGTCCATGAAGCTAATCTTTAAATAGATAGCACGGTTAGCTTTTATCATCCAGAAGGTTTTTCTACCTCTGTTTCAAAAGCAGGAGTTTAACTGACCTTTTAAAGTCATTCTCAACCATCCCTTGGTAGCATTAGCTTGAAGCATAGCTGGTAGCTTTAGCACAACTAGCATGTAGCTCATTTTCTGTGTTGTTTACATAAAAATATGGATTTGTTTTTAATGCCCTAATTGAAATTACATTTTCTGAATGCGTGTAACAACGTTTTTACACAAATCGAAAGACAAACTTTTTTTGGTATAATCCTCATAAAATTATGGATTATTTTACAAGTACTCCAAAAAATTCTAGCAATTCATGTCTAAAATCAAGGAGTTTTCTTTCATATATAACAATCTAGCTTTGGGCAATGTTTACACCGGAAGAACAATCGAGAAATAAGTAAAAACATCTTAAATTAAGTGTATTTACCCTTAATTTGAGTAGGTAAATGAGATAGTTTGCCAATGGAATGAGTATTTTTACTTTTAAAATAAGATAATTAGATAACATACACTTGAAATAAGACAATTCAATTTTGTTTTCTTATTTTAAATGTAAATTGTCTTGTTAAATTGGCAAAGTGTCTCACTTACGTCTTTCATTCAAGAACAAATACCCTTATTTTAAGAAAAATGTACCTATCCAGATTTAGATTTTTTTCCAGTGAAAGAGAAGAAATATTTGCTGTCCGATCTTTGATGAGAATGGCATTTTCAGATCTTACTGAAAATGCAGGCATAATAATAAAAAAATCTCAAATTGTTTATCAAAGTATATGTCTACGATCTTGTTCAGATTTGAAATTAGTATCAGAAAGTGCATTTAAGGACCTGCTGTTGGCCGTCTTGTTTTAGGGAAACCTTTACTTTTAATGCATTTAACTAAATGGCATTTGGCCTGACAGCTAAGATGAAAACTGAAAAGCGAGTCTAACCTACGCCTAATCAACTAGGGACACCTTCAACCGGTGCAACAATTTTCAGAATGAAAATGGGCTAATTTTATGAAACATCACCAGATCCTGGCTAACTCGCCAAGTCAAGAGATATTTTCATCTTCTATAATATAGATAATATATCGAATAAGACAGTCGTATCAAGAACCAAAGCCAACTTTCAAAGAGACTGTCAATGGCTCTCACTCTGACCTAAACATTGACCTCGCTTCAGATACTATTTGCTCCTTTTTCTTCTGTTCCTCAATCTGACCAGATGCCATTAGTCTTCCTGACACTTGCCTTTCCAGCCAAGAGAGAACTGTGATAACTTACCTTATCCACAAGTGGCCAGCTGGGGAGCCCAAACCTGCTAGAAAAGCTGGGGAGTCCGTGAAATGGGGATTGAGGAGATTGTGTCTACCCCCGATGCTGTGTGTGACACAGGCGAGCCTTAGCTTCTACTCAATCCTCAGAGGCTATATAAGGAATGTAAAACTACACCAAACTATTTCAGCCCAACACCCACATGAGTCACAGGGAGGAGGGTGAGGAGGGCTGCTGGAGGAGGACTGGGAGAGGTAACGTCAACTGCCTTGAGGCTCTGGCAAAGGCCCTCTACATAAACTTCTTTTTTTGTTCGCCTTTCTTTTGAAACTGCACTTGAGAACCAGCAGAGAGCCACAAGTGATATAAAACTAATGACAGTGTGCATTCTTCCTAAAAGGAATGAGATGCATTACAAGCAAACCACCAATTACATTTCAACCATCAACTCCTTAAAGCAACAGCTTTAAGGAGTTGATGGTCCCCTCCCTCTGTATTACAGAGAACTGAAGCAGTGGTTTGCCTGTTGAGAAAGTTAATTTAACACCTCTCTATAAAACCTAAAATGCAAAACGGGGAACTAAACATGAACTTAACCTGAAAACTGAAATAATTATAGGTAGACATGCTCTCTGGTTTTCTTTAAGGTCTTTAAGGATTGTAAATCTTGAAAATTAGGGTCTCTCTGGACCCTAATTTGAAGGTTGACAGATTTATACATCGGCCAGTCAATATATTCTTGCAGATATTAGCATTGTTTTCCTTGGGTATCAGCCACTATGTGCATGCATTGGCCTATTACTGCAGTGGTAATTGTTTCCGTTAAACAACCACTTATTTACTGTGTAATGGAAGACAGAAATAGAATGAGGAGGAACACTATGGCTACGTTCACACAGCAGCCTGAAGCGACCCAAATCCGATTTTTTCGCCCATATGCGCCCTGGATCCGATCTTTTCATGGTTGTCTGAACAACACGGATCCGATTTTTTACAATGCGACCCAGGCCGCTCGGCTATGTGGTCCTGAATCCGATACATATCTGATCTTTTCCAATGCACCCTGTGTCTATATTCAGCCAATCTGATAACTGTCAAAACAGCAACTTAAAATGTGTGTAAACATTTCTAGGTATACAAAACTTAATTCTTACTAGTATAATCTTGTTTTCTCAAATTCAGTTTCGGCTGCAGAAATGTAATTTAGAATATCTGTTAGTACAGTTCCGTCTATGAATGTGATGTTGACAGGAAGAAATTTAAAAAAAATTTGTGATTTACAAAAGGTACAACAGAGAGCAGAGCGCTACTAATAAATGTTAAAACATCCTGCCAAATCACACTTCATATAAACCTACGCATTAACCTGAGCAGCAATCTCTTCCTACACCAGGGGTCTTCAATGTTTTCCAGGCCAAGGACCCAAAACTGATGGCGAGATGGAGCGGGGACCCCCTAATTATATATATTGTTTGAAATTGTGTTATATCAAACTGGTCATATAGTCACTCTATTGCATATAGAGTAATGTAATGAAAGTAATTTTACCCTGGGATTATTAAAGTATTTCTGATTCTGATCCCTGGTTGATGGGACAGGTGTTGTGAATGAAACGGTGCCCAGCTTGAAAGAGCTCCTGTGTGTAGCTGAATGTGTGCATTGATGATTAAAAGACATCTTCTGCCTCCATTTATCTGTTTACTACAGTGTGTTGAATTCATGTTAATGTGTATTTAAAGACATTTCATTTAGTGGAAAAAATTGCAGAGGGGGAATATTGAAAAAAAGGCCATTAACACAAAACTTTCGTGACCCCCATGCAGTTCTTCTGCAGAGCCCCTAGGGGTCGCAGACCCCCTGTTGAAGACCTCCACCCTACCCCATCTTCTTCCCATGTGGCTGTAGCGTTAATGCTTTTTCGTTTAAACACATTCTCCAATTTCTTTTTTAATTTTTCCTTAAAAAATCTACAGTCCGTAAAATAATCTTCCCTCAGTGGGGTGAAATTGTCACTTCCTGTTGCCATGGTGACTCGTCCAATCTGGGCTCCACTGATAATGGCTTTTTACACTTCTTATGTACGTGCAAAACTGAATGGACCTACTCAGAGTTGATTAAACTAACTCACAGCAGCTTTTATAAAACCAAGTTTCCAACCTTAGGCTAGATCAATTTAGAGTTGAGCATTTGAGCCCGAGTTTGTTAAACCTGCTTTATCAAACGGGCCCCTGTGAGACAGAGGCCCTCAAGGACTGATGTTGGATATGCTTGGATTAGACTGATGTAAAAAAAAAAAAAAAAAAAATCGGTGTCGGCATCTGCCTTAAAGAACCCGCTGCGTTAAAAAAAACAACAACAAAATAGATTATCCCCATAAATGCTTCAAATTATATTAAATTCTCTATATTTGTGTTGCGACAACGCACCTGGACGATGACCTGGATGATTCTCAGTCATCCAGGTCATCGTCATTACAAAAAAGTTCAAAAAACGAACCACTAGACTCTGTTTCCAAGTTTAAAGATGTTTCGCTTCCCATAAAAATGTCTGGATTAGTGTTAAGTTTCAAGGTTTATAGAGTGGACCAACACATTTTATAACATAAATAGTTTATAACACACATCAATCCAGATTAAGCATATAAAAAAAAGATGTCAAAATCTAATCTCATGTTGTTGGTTACTCCTAACCAACTTTTGTAGTTTCATGAACTGGAAAAAAATAATAAATAAATAAATTAAGAATTTATTGATTCTAATATTTGTCTTTTGACTGTCTGTATTTTTTTTTTCCTTTTTTTTTTTTGATCCCTGAAAAAAAAAAACTGCTGATTTCAAGCTCTTCATCAATACTACTGATCTTTATGCTGTGCATGACAAAAATGTAAGTTTCCAAGCTGTACTGACAGAAGTTTTGAACTTGATATTTCCACATGTGTGTGAACAGAAACAGCCACAGCAGCAACATGCAGGTCACACCAGCACTTTCATTCAGCTGTTAAACAGGCAGTTAATGCAACCCTGAAAAAACATCATATTCATTCATATTGGATTAATTAAAACCATAGAATTATATAATCTTAAATTATTTCTGAAACTTTGTTTTTTTTTTTTTTTTTTTTTGTTTAAAGGAGCTTTAATCGGTCAGAAACACGCGGAGGGAGTTTATAGAGCTGCTTTCAAATGATTTTAAGAGAAGTGCAAATTAAAGCTCATGCTGTGCAGACTCACAACTGTGGAAAAAGTTGGACGAGAATGAAAGACAAAAACAAAACAAAAACAAACTAGAAAATCTCTTAAAGTTAAGAGAAGTCCCCTGCAGCAGGACTCAGGCGGCTCATTAGATGTGGAACAACACACCCAAACTGCCGCTGAAAGTTGTTTTAAAGACTTTTCCTCACAGACAGAAAGCAGAACAGCAGCTCACCTCTTCTTCCTCCTTCTGTTCGCTGGACGTGACGAAGAAAAACCTGCGAGCGATAAGAAACAAAGTCCGTCTGAAGTCAACTCTGGAGTTTTACTCCTCAAAGCGGAGGTCAAGGAGCCGCAGTAAGTCCTCCTCCTCCTGCTGAGTCTTCCAGCAGGACCCCGCTGTGACGTAACGTGTCACGTGGGTGCGTTCTCCATTGTTGTGCCGCGCGCATGTCTGCTCCCTCTCACCATCATCATCATCACCATCATCATCATCGCCGCAGATATGTGTGTGTTGTAACAAATATGTCAGTTATGACCGCAGCAGTGGAGTCCGGAAGACGATTAGGGCCACTGAATGAAAAAAAAAAAAAAAGTTAACTGATTTTTTATTTTTATTTCAGTTTAATATGGGGAAAAAGTAAGAATCCTGACTTTTTTCCCCAGAATTCTGAGAAAAAAAGTCAGAATTCTGAGAGAAAAGTCAGAATTCTGAGATCAAAGTCAGAATTCTGAGATCAAAGTCAGAATTCTGAGATTAAAGTCAGAATTCTGAGATTAAAGTCGGAATTCTGATTTTCTTTCCCATATTAAACTGAAATAAAATGTAAGAATCAGTTAACTTTTTTTTTTCTTTCAGTGGCCCTAATCGTCTTCCATAGTACGGGCAGAGGCGTAGCCAGAAAATTGTAATAGGGGTGGCCAGTCAAAAACCAATGTAAACTGGGGGGGGGCAGAACCTCAGGGTCCCACAGGAACGAGTACAACATCCATATTTTCTAAATAAAGACAAACTATACTTTCCTTTTGATTACAAATAGATGCATATATTTAAATGCTGTCTAAATAAAAGGTATAGTGGACAAAATGTCTGGGGCAAGCATCTTTTCCTTTGTCATTACTCACCTACTTTAATCAAAAATTGTTCTGCTTAAAGGGGAACTTCTGTTTTTTTACATTGGGCCTTTGATTTTACGTTATTACATCTATGTTCTACTCACCCATATGAGTTTTGTGTCATTTGGAGCTGTTCTGAAGATAGGTTAGGTTATATCCAAGTAACATCTTCCTATGGGCAAGTGACTTGAAGGCACAAACTAAACTGTTTAGAATTAATTCTTTATGGTACGCCAGCATTCATAACATGTAGGAGAATCACTGTCCCCCAGGCATCCGCAGTTAAATTTTTTATATTTATATTTTTTTAAAACAAAGCAGAGTGTGCATGATATCATCGGCGCGCCGGCTACCGTTCATTCTTCCTGTCCGCTGAACTGCTGCTAGTTTTCCTCACATGCCTGGAAGATGTCTAGTGCTACTAACACGGATGATCTCGCTCTCCAAATGCAATTGAATGATTCAGATTAGCTCGCTGAATGAATAGAAGGGGTAGAGCATAGCCGGCTGTGGCCCGGGCTGCCTGTCAGAACTCCAGTCCGCGCGCGGATGACGTCATACACGCGCCACTTTTGATTTATGGCCTAAGAGATCAATAGACTTTGGTTCAAATTGGGTGAGATTTTGTATATACAGGTTTTTTGGGCTGGAAAACGTGAGTCAGTGACATCTGGAAACCCTGCTGAAGTTACTGTGTGTCTGTGTTAATAACCAATAAAAACTGCATTATAGAAGTCTTGGTGATAGTTGTCGTATTATGCGTATATATATATATCTTTATTTTTGTTTTGTTTTGTTTTTTTGGGGGGCTTAGAGATGGAAAAATGCCAAGGCCGAAAATGCTCCCAGTCTAAGCCTGTTCACATGTGTTTACAAAAAAAAAAAAAGTGAAATTAAAACTGCTTCTGGAAAAAAAAAATGAGGACAAAAAACAATATTATCACGCAACTCACATTTAGGTGATAGGATGCACATGTGCGCCATCTAAATGGAATTCAGTTTATTTATGTAGCGCCAATTCATAACACATGTCATCTTAAAGCACTTTACAGAGACAATACAGTTTCTGTTAAGGAAAGCCAGTTGATTGCATCCAGTCATTGACTTGCAGGACACACTCATTCTGGATGAGCTTGCATTTTCAATTACATTTTGCTTGTATTTTGCTGTTAACTCTTAAGCAATCTCTAACACCGAGCATATATGCAATGACAATGAAGAAGAAAAACTCTCTTTTTACAAGAAGAACCCTCCAACAGAACCAGGCTATGTTTGAGCAGCCTTCCCCCTGGTCTGACAGGAGATTCAAGAAGAGTCTTATGGAAACCAATCGCTGTAAAATAAATGCACTTTATCCCTGTTGTTAAAAATGGTTAGGATGATGGTTATGGTGCAGGAGAAAGAAGAAAACCTGTTACAGGCTGCAAAAAGTTTCACACTGCAGGTTAGTCTGTGCCTCCAGCGATACTCTAAACATGCACACAAAGGAGTGGTTTAGAACAAAACATGTTTACGGAAAATTCCGGACCTAATCCAATTTAGCTTTTTGAACATAAATTTTACTAGACGTGCAAAGCAAGAACAGACCTACCCCCAAAAGGCTGCAGCTAAAAGGTAGAGCCAGCCCAAGGCATACCTGAACTAAGCTGCTGCTTAGACGCTTACAACAGTCTACCCATCTAAAGCATAGAAAAAGTATTGAATTCAGTTTTAAAAGTGAGCACACCCCTCAATTTGTAAATACTTTATGCAACAACACTGAAGTTATAAAACTTTGATACCAAGTAAAGTAGTTTTTGTACATTTTTTATAATAATGTTTATGATTGTCCAGTCAAAATAACAAAACAAAAAAAACATTCGGGTCTAAAAGTGACTTTGCTCATGAAGTAAAAATGCCCAAATTGTTAAAAAAATGTTTTCCATATTTTTATTTATATTATGTAAAGCAGCAGTTTCACCATTTTCTTTTATAGATTTTTATGCAATTATAGGTGTAAAAATTCTACATTTTGTTATATACACTGATTCTGGAAAATACTTGCTTTATAAATGTTTTTTGGCCATCAAAATGCTTCACTGTTATTCTATGGGTCAAATAGTAAAGTAAAGCAGAGTAAAAGCATTTGGCACAATTGAGGATTTTTGGAGATGCTGGTGACACCAAAAGTTCAAAGCCCCACAGCGCTGGAACTGTTGCAGCTAGAGGTCTGAAATTTTCAGCATTTTTGGTTGCCATGATGTAGAACAAATGTAATACAATGAGACCTGCCTTTTATCAAGCATGTCTTTATTACTGCTGTTCAAAAAAGAACTATCATTTTCGAGGATAAAAAACAACGACTTTGAGTCATGTTTAAACTGATGCAGCTTGGTCTGTGTTCTCTTCACCCAATTATATATTTATACATTCAGAAACTAGAGGGCGTTAGCTTTAAAATGATGTATTGCACATGTGATTTGGGATTACAGTTCCTAAGTTATTTGCTTTTCCATTTGCGTATACAAAATAGCAGAGAATTTCCCAAAATGAGGTGGATGTTAAGATTAATCTTCTTGCTGTGTTTGAGATCCATTTATTTAAAAATATCAGGGAATTATAACCATTTATCTATGATTGCTTTTAAGTTCATTTGAAAATTTTCCATTCACTGGGTATTGAAAAACTGTTGTGGTGGGGAAGCTCCTAACAGTGGGAGGTGCCACAAACCCAAGTCTGCTAAATGACCTCCATTCGGGCTTTACAAAGCATTGCTTCAAGGGGACTGAATTATAAAGGCACACAGGGGCGGAGTTATCAGAAGGAGGTTACTGGGGGCCCCAAGCTCCTGAGGGCAACATAAAAATGTAGAATTATTACTTACAGTCTCATACAGTTTAGTTTAACGTGGAGTCGATTTTTATACCTGCTGAGTTCTAACAAAGCTCAGAAATAGGGATGATCTCACTCAGATTAACTCCTTCTTGTTTTAATATCTTTCACTTGTGGCATCAACTTCCAGCTTTATTGTAGCCCAAACATTGTTGAAGTCCAACTAACCAGATAAAATTATGCTTTTTTGTTTTATTTTTATCTTCTCCCAAGACCTCCTCATTCCCAGGGATCTGGGGGATAAGGCACCAATATGTACAGGTGCTGGTCATAAAATTAGAATATCATGAAAAAGTAGATTGATTTCAGTAATTCCATTTAAAAAGTGAAACTTGTATATTGTATTCATATATTACATACAAACTCATATATTTCAGATGTTTATTTTGTTTAATTTTGATGATTACAAATGACAACAAATGAAAATCTCAAATTCATCATATCAGAAAATTAGAATATTACTGAAGACCAATAAAAACAAAGGATTTATAGAAATGTTGGCCAACTGAAAAGTATGAACATGAAAAGTATGAGCATGTACAGCACTCAGTATTTAGTTGGGCCTCCTTTGGCCTGTATTACTGCAGCAATGCGGCGTGGCATGGAGTCGATCAGTCTGTGGCACTGCTCAGGTGTTATGATAGCCCAGGTTGCTCTAATAGTGGCTTTTAGCTCTTCTGAATTGTTGGGTCTGGTGTATTGCATCTTCTTCTTCACAATACCCCATAGATTTTCTATGGGGTTAAGGTCAGGAGAGTTTGCTGGCCAATTAAGAACAGGGATACCATGGTCCTTCAACCAGGTACTGGTAGCTTTGGCACTGTGTGCAGGTGCCAAGTCCTGTTGGAAAATGAAATCTGCATCTCCAAAAAGTTGGTCAGCTGCAGGAAGCATGAAGTGCTCTAAAACTTCCTGGTATGTGGCTGCGTTGACCCTGGACCTCAGAAAACACAATGGACCAACACCAGCAGATGACATGGCACCCCAAACCATCACTGACTGTGGAAACTTTACACTGGACTTCAAGCAACGTGGATGAAGTGCCTCTCTTCTTTTCCTCCAGACTCTGGGACCTTGATTTCCAAAGGAAATGCAAAATTTACTTTCATCAGAGAACATGACTTTGGACCACTCACCAGCAGTCCAGTCCTGTTTCTCTTTAGCCCAGGCAAGACGCTTCTGACGCTGTCTGTGGTTCAAGAGTGGCTTGACACAAGGAATGCGACAGCAGAAACCCATGTCTTTCATACGTCTGTGTGTGGTGGTTCTTGAAGCACTCACTCCAGCTGCAGTCCACTCTTTGTGAATCTCCCCCACATTTTTGAAGGGGTTTTGTTTCACAATCCTCTCCAGGGTGCGGTTATCTCTCTTGCTTGTACACTTTTTTCGACCACATCTTTTCCTTCCCTTCGCCT